GATAAACCAAGAGAGGCTCTATGTTGAGGCCACCACTTGCATTGGCCCATAGCAATAAGATTAGTCTATCTTTCAGTTTGTGGCCTGGGCATTTTCTTCTCTTCCTGGATGATATGTTTTCTTGAGAAAAGCCCAGTTTCATCACAGTTGCAAACATGATGAGGGCAAAAGCTCTCTGTGTCATCATTTCAAAGTGGTATGTAATTTTCAGCAGCTCTTTATCAGCACTGTTGGTTTCACCATGCCTACTTCTACTGTAAATCCAATACTCGATTTGAAATTGTGAAACCACCCCTTACTGATATGGAATGTTTCACCATTATCACTTGTTGATGGATTATCCTTTATGAGATCTGCATTTATAGCCCTAGCTTTTCATAAGTCACAGACCCAGGTAGGGTGTAGTCTGCCATCTGCCTTTATTTTATTCACACCAATAATGGCTCTTCTACCTCATCTGCTCATCGTGGCTTAATTAATCTGAGTAATAACTTCAGCAACATTAGGTTCCTCATATAAATTTTTCTCTGTAAGATTGTTGAGATGGTGAATTTCAACATGCTGTACCAGTCACACAAATACCACTCTCATATTTCTCCACAATTTCCTTTTTCTTTTCAATTGTAATTACTTTCTTTACCTTCCATTACTTCTGTAGCTTTTCTAGTTTTTTGGGACCACTTCAGTAACAGTAATGAGAGTGGTTATCTAAAACACTGACCAAAATCTTGTCCACAAACACATGTTTCTGGGCTCAGACTGATGCTTACATACTCTTTTTTTGACATTGAGAGACTACAGTATTTAGGTTGTAACTCAAGACTTTGGTCATACATTAAACCTAAAATTCTGGTCCTAACCCAGGTTGTTTGTATGGAAGGATACTTGTAACTCCCAGGACCTGCTGTAGCTGAATGTATCTGGTGATATTTCTGTATCCTGTGCTCTGTTCCATTAATCCATGTGTCTGTTTTTATTCCAGTACTGTTGTATTACAGTAACTTTGTTTTTGTTTTTTTGTTTTTGTTTTCATGAGCAGGACGTATTTATTGGGGGAAAGAAAGCTCCCGTCAGAGACAGGAACAGAGGAACAGGAGTGGGGCTCGAGCGGATTGTTCCCTGTTTTGCTATTATTGTTCTCTTCTGGTTCCATATACATTTTAAGATTTTTTTTTTTTTTTAGATCTGTAAAATATGCTCTTGGTAGTTTGATTGGGATTGCTTTGAATCTGTGTAACAGTTTTGAGAATATGGCCATTTTGACAGTATGTGTGGGTTCTTCCTAATGAGGGGAGACATGGACATGGTTCCATTTTATGATGTCTTCTTCAATCTCCTTTTTCACAGTACTTTAGAAACCTTTCATTTCTTTGATTAGGTTAATTCCGAGGCATTTCATTTTTTGTGACTCTACCGTGAATGATATTGTTTTGTAATTTCCTTCTCAAGTTCTTTTTTTTAATTTAATTTAATTTATTTATGTGTGTGTGTGTGTGTGTGTGTGTGTGTGTGTGTGTATCCACCTCAGCCCACCAGGGGACGGGGCTGGCTGGCAAGTGGTGCTGGGGGATTGAACCGCAGTCCCTGTGCTTTGCTAAGTTTGTTCTAAGTAGGTGCTTTAGACCACTGAGCCATCTCACCAGCCCCCTTCTCAAGTTCTTTATTGAGGTACCAAATGATTTTTGTGTGTTGATCTTGTATACCACTACATTGTTGAAGTTGGTTGGGTTTTTTTTGTCTTTTTTTTTTTTTTTTGCGGAACCAGGGATTGAACTCAGGCCCTTGCGCTTGCCAGGGAAGCGCTTACTTTACTGAGCCATCTCTCCGGCCCTTGAAGTTGGTTATTGTAAGAGTTTTTCGATGGAGTTCTTTGGGCCTTCTATGTAGAGTATTATGTCTTCTCTAAATAATGATTAAGAGTTCTTCCTTTTTTTGTATGTATCCCTCTTCTTTCTCTTGCCTGATTGCTTTGGCTGTGTCAAATATTATGTTGAATAGAAGTGATAGTGGGCATGCTTGTTTTGTTGTTGAGTTTAGAAGGAATGCTTTTACTTATGTTTTCTGTGGTTTGTCATAAATAGCTTTTATCAAATTTAGGTATGGTTCTTC